TTCAACACATAGTATAGGTAAGGCAGGGTATCAGTGTGGGTATAACCCCAATGGTGATTCCATAGTGCATGGTGGTTGAGCACATCAGCGACGGATTCATGCAACAAATACCAAATTGTGGGATGATTTGTGGGACCGTCCAAATGGGTAGAGAGGTGAAACAAATACCAATTCTTGCAACAAATTGCCAAATTGTGGGATGATTTGTCCACAGGAACAATGGCAAAGTGTTGTTGCAGATGGCGTAAGGAGGCATGTGCACAACGAAGTGAATGTTGTTGGCTCACATGATTGGAAGACGAAGTCGCATTGGATTGACAATGCCCAAGGATTGCAGAACGCCAGCTGTGCAATTTCTGAGAAAGGGACGAGAAAGAAGCAGATCGAGAGTGTCTAGCAAATGTATTCTTGTAACTGGCAATGTACTCATTGAGTCCGATCGCCAGTGCTTGGAGCACATCAGCAGTCTCCCCGTTCAAACAATATTTAGAACCTTCTTGAAAAAGCTTGCGAAGGTTATCGTCTGAGATGATATTGTAATCAACAGAGACAACATGACCGTCCACAAGATCTGAACAGTGGCACATAACTATGAACTAAAAGAGTGCACTTTGCGAAACAAAATGCAAGGATTAACTGAAAGTCTGAAACCGTTTATTTTTATCATTCTTCTTTTAACTCCCCCTTCAGTATGGCTCTCACGTACAAGGCTCGCCACGCTGATGAAGTTGAGTGCGAACTGCCCGCATCTCTGTGTGCCATACCGACCCACTTGTGCGCTGTGAGAAAGAGGCAGAGTAAAGGGGAAGGTGATAAGCACAGGGAAGAGAGATGACGAGAAGACAAACAAAGAACCAAAAGGGAAAGTAAGGGAAAGTACGGAGTGTGGAATGAAGATGAAGGCAATGGAGAGGATGAGAAAAGCTCAAGAGTGAGTCTGTCCTTGAGGATAGAGAAGACACACGTTGTAAGGATGAGGTGGGTGGGTGAGCACATGGAAGACCTAGCTGACCGAGCATTATCAGCACAACAATTGCCGCGACGGCTGGCATTGAACATGCCCACCATACACTCCCGACAAACGGCATGTCGATCGATTGCAGGCCAAAATGAAGGAAGAACGCTCACCACAGAAGCGCCCATGGCCGCAAAATGGACACAATAATGTTCGGATGCGGAGGGTGC